GCACACCTTTCCTCGAATTTCCTTTTACTTGATTCAAAATCCCTCTTCTTCAAGCTTTTCATCTCCTTTCTTGTCTCCTTCTTATGCTAATGTAGGTTAAATTTGGTAAGCATTTGATTATTTTTCTTAAGAATTCTTTTTCCTTTTCAGTAATGTTGAAGACCTCATTTAAGATATCTCTTTAGTTTACCTTGAAATTATTTCATTATTGTTGCCTGATTAGTCATTAATCATTATTGTCTAAATCATATTTTACAGAGACATACATATGACTGAAAATATTTCAACTGATGAGGTGGTGGTCCTATGTGATGAAAGTATTAATTTAAATGTTATGCATCAAACACAATCTGTTCAGCCAAAGGTTACAAAAGAAAGAAAGAAAAGGTCTCGAGCATGGGATCATTTTGGATCATTTGTTGATGAAGAAGAAAATAAGAAATCAAAGTGTAAGCATTGCGGTCAAGATTATTTTGCTGATTCAGTTAAAAATGGTACAAAGGCTATGCTTACTCATATGTTAACATGTACAAAGATGCCTAAAAGTGTTGATAAAAGTCAAACTCAAATAGGCTTTCAATCTGTTCAGGGAGGGAATACAAGTGATGTGGTTGTTGTTTCCTGGAAATTTGAGCAAGAACAATGTAGGAGAGCTTTATGCCGCATGGTAATTGTGGATGAACTACCTTTCAAGTTTGTCGAGAAGGAAGGTTTTAGAAACTTTATGAAAGTAGCGCAACCTCGTTTTAAGATTCCTTCTCGTACCACTGTGACACGTGATTGTTTTAAACTTTTTGATGAAGAGAAGCAAAAGTTGAAAAGATTTTTCGGAGAAGCACGACAAAGAGTATGTCTGACAACTGATACTTGGACCTCTTTGCAACGGATTAATTATATGTGTATCACTGCACATTGGATCGATAATGAGTGGATTATGCATAAGAGGATAATCAACTTCTGTCCAATTTCCAGCCATAAAGGTGAAGATATGGCTAATGAAATTATGAAGTGTTTGCGTGATTGGGGCTTAGATAAAATATTTACCATCACAGTCGATAATGTTAGTTCAAATGACGTGACTGTGAAAGAGTTGCCTAAGATATTCACCAAACGGGGGATCAATTTCATGAATGGAGAACACCTTCATGTGAGGTGTATGGCGCATATTCTAAATCTTGTTGTTCAAGATGGTTTGAAGGTGTCTGCTGTGTCTATTGAACGGGTTAGAAAAGCAGTTAAATACATAAGGCTGTCTCCTGCGAGGTGTAAGAGGTTCCAAGAATGTTGTGAAGATGTTGATATTAATTGTAAAAAATCTTTATGTTTAGATGTTTCTACGAGATGGAACTCCACATACTTGATGTTAAATAGGGCTATTGAGTTTGAAAATGTGTTTTCCAGTTATGTTGCTCGTGATATTGGCTTGTTACATTACCTTCAGTTTGTTAAGGATGAAGATGGAAAGGATGAACATAGAAGCGTTGTTGGTGCCCTTTTGAGTGATGATTGGGACAATGTAAGAAAAATTGCTAATTTTCTTCAAATTTTTTATGATCTTACCAGAGAAGTATCTGGATCACACTACGTCACAGCAAACTCACATTTTCTTAAAATTTGTGAGGTTTCTTGTTATTTGAAACAATTGATATCGAGTGAAGAAGATAAAGATGATCTTTTGGGTAAAATTGCTTCGAATATGAGAGAAAAATTTGATAAGTATTGGGGTACTCCAAAGAAGATGAACAAGATGATTTTTATTTCTTGCGTTTTGGATCCTCGTCACAAGTTTGTTTCAGTTGGCTTTGCACTTCAAATGATGTTTGGGAAAGAAGGTCCAATTTTAGAGAATGGAGTTAGAGACTACATGGATTTGTTGTTTGGTGAATATGTAAAGTCCCTTTCTAAAGATAAAGGCAGTCAACACTCTTCATCTTTATCTAGTTCTTCATTTGAAAATTCTAGTTCACTGCTTTCAAGTTCAGGTAGTAGTGTCCAATCGATAGGATGTTTAGGGACATTCATGGGTGATCTAATGAAACATAAAGCTGAAAATACAACAACTGTCAAAACAGAATTGCAAAAATATCTTGCTGAAGAAAATGAAGTTGAAAGCAAGAACTTCAACATCTTGTCTTGGTGGAAAATAAACTCACCTAGATTTCCCGTTCTTGCTGAGATGGCTCGGGATGTGTTAGCAATTCCTATTTCAAGTGTGGCATCCGAGTGTGCGTTTAGTACTGGTGGGCTTATCTTGGATTCATTTAGGAGTTCATTAACTCCTAAATTGGTGCAAACTCTAGTGTGCCTTCAAGATTGGATTAGAAGTGACACACGACCTATAAGTGTTGAGGAAGATATAGATGTCCTCGAACAGCTCGAACAAGGTAAGGATATTTTAATTAGAATAGTTTTAATTGTTATTGTAAATAGTCATTAACATTTTTTTGGTTGATTAACATAAATTCTCTATAGATTTGGCTAATACTAGCATTTTGGATGA